AATATTCTCCCAAAATTTCAGCCTTCCAGCTTTTCTGAATACCGAGTTAGCAATTTTCCCGCCAAAGTTTTACATGTCCGCGCCTGAATACCCTGCGTACCTGCAAAGCTGAATTTGAAATTTTTAGATTGCACGCGGACAGGGAACATCACCCTAAAATTTTAGCCTTCCAGCTCTTGTGGCTGCCGAGTTAGTAATTTCCTGCAGAGAATTTCGTACGCCCTTACGTGACTACCACTGATAGCTGGGGGCTGAATTTGAAATATTTGAGTTGTACATCGATAGGGAACATTCCTCCAAAATTTCAGCTTTCTAGTTTTCGTAGCACCTGAGTTAGCAATTTTCCCCCTAAAACTTTCAAACACCCTTGCGTGAGAAGCTGAATTTGAAATATTTTGCTAGTACATGCACACGGGATATCCCTACAAAGTTTCAGCCCCTTAGCTCTTGTGGTTTCCAAGATCGCTTTCCCGCCGAAACATTTGCATATTTTTTTAAAGCGAACGTACACGGCACGCAAGCATCCACGGTGGATGAAATTAAAATGAGAGGGTCGCTCATGGTGGAGGCACATACCTCCAAAGTTTCAGCCTACTTGCTTTTCTGGTTCTCGAGTTGAAAGTGGGTGAAGAAAAGTGCGAACATACAGACACAAACACCCACACACACACGTACACACACACGCACACAGACAGCCTCTTCCCAGTATGCGTTTTTGCAATTTGCATATATGCAAAAACGCATAAAAATGACTGATATGCATTCGCTGTGATAAAAAAAGTTTTTTATGCATTTTTGCTGTGCAGCGCTATAGCGCTGCTAAAGCTAGCAAAAACGCATATTGTCGAGAGGCTGTGTGTGTGTGTGTGTGTGTGTGTGTGTGTTCAGAAGCGAGTATATTTTTTCTCAGCAACCAGAAAGCTGGGAGGCTTGAGTATGTGTTCCTACCCCCTGTCCCACCCTCCTGTTTCGAGATATTTCTCCACACACGCCTAGACCCCGCGTACGAGCCCGTAAAAAATATTCAAGTTTCTTTGGCGAGAAATGATTTCGCAAAGCAGACAAGTTAGAAAGCTGAAACTTCGCAGGGATATTCTGTATGCACTAGCGAGCTAACGATTTTAAATTCAGCTGTTGAGAACGCTTGTGAAGCACGTACGACCACGTCAAAATTTGCGACTTGCTATATGCTAACTCGGAAAATTGCTGGAAAACAGTGGCTGAAATTTTGTCAGGATGATTTCCACACTGATTCCCATATAGGAAACCGTATACCTAGAATAAGTACCGATTTCCACTTGCGCCACGACTTAGGGAACTTCAAAGATATTGTAACGAATTGGATATTTCGCTTACAGAATAAGCGGTGAGATTGAAAATTCGCG